AACGACGAATGATAAAAGTTAACGAGTTTCTTTAGTTTATATAATATAGCCGTAAGCGTGTTGGTCGACGAAACATCCTACAACCCATTTTCTAATCAAGATAATTACAGTCTTGGAAACTGTCTTCGTCTTGAAAGAGTCATTCATGGCTCTGTAAAAACGAGGTTGAACTAATAATACTTTTGTTATTATTAAGTCTCTTCTGCAATATTATAATTGAGTGAAATGTCTTCCTCACCCTTAATGAGAAAATACTTACCCTAAAATAACATAAGTTAATAAATATGAGACCGCTGGCCATATGGGCCAAATAACACGGCTGCTAGTGTTGCTATTCGAGTAACAGTAGTGAGATCGTATAATTTATTATCAACGTTTCCTATCGAAGTTTTCCTTACAAGGACAAGTTAAGCCTAAAAGCTTAGTCCACCATAAGCGTCAGTGCCTGCTTTTGCAAAAGTAGCCAAACTCTTTTTGCTTTCTAATACATTTCTATCGCTGCTAAGGCTTTTCAAGCCAAATGACTAGAAGAACCACAATGTCGACACCGCAGGAAACGTCACATAAATCATCAGATGAGGAAACAGTGGTATTTAGGCAGGACGACAAACTACGCGACAGTCCCTGTCACGTTTTGTTTCTCTCCAAACGACCTGAATTAGAATAGAATATCTAGATGCAATAGTTGACAGCGATCGCGTTTAGAAAATACAGATCGATTTGGCCTACTGCAACTCGGCTTATCCTTTTGGCGGATTCACATGGTAAATCCTTCACTTCGCGTAGGCAGGTATTTAGCGTACAGACCCATGTCAGCTTAGCGCATCCGAAGTTGTTTCAACATTTTCGTTGCTGTAGCTTCCAACAGCTTCGTATCCCCGTAGCCACTCTACTTGTAGTATAGAAGACTGATAATCGTAAGCTTATGTAGGTTGTAGTCATATCAGTCAGAGCATTAACAGGACTAAACTTTATTACAACTTACAGGTGACCAATCACTTTCTTTATCTGTCACCTCACAGGTGTGAAGTACAACTTTCTCAAAACGCACGTCCTACACGCTCCCTGTGTAACCTCAATTGATTGATGCTTAGAAGCAAATAAATTTAATAAAATACATCAGACAATGACAAATGAAGAGATAAAGAGATTGTTCCTTAGCACAATCTTCTTATCCTATGTAGGTTTCTATAAAATGCTCAAAAAATAGATTAGCTTATGGTAAAGTCTCTTACATTCGTGCACCCAGAAATAAAAAAAAAAGCTTTTTTTTGTGTAAAAATGTTCTACTATAAAAATGTGATCAAATACTTCCTATTCTATATATATATATCTATATATAAGATTACGTGCGGCCAATATATAGACCGATGCCGAGAAGTGAGTAGTATTCACAGGTGTGGCATTTTGCTCGTTTCTATGTAAATGTTGATAATATGATAAAAGAATAAACGACATATATATGTGTATTCGTAAAAAAAACACCGGAAAAGGGTTATGACATATTAATTGCAGAGATGTGTTAAAAGATTCTACAAAGCAAACAATAATAAATCATTTGTTCTCACTAAGCAATAGTTTCAATGACGGATAATAGACGAAGTCAACAATTCCACTCCAGAGTCAGAGGCCAACAAATAGTGTCATCTGATTATAATGTTTGTTGATGTTGACTTCTTCTCAATTTTTAAATTATTGAAAAAAAAATTTACTTTTTCTCAAAATTAAACCTATTCTTTTGTCCATATAGTTTTTCTCATGACAGAAAGGATTTCTTGAAAATGTCTACATTTTGTAGTTACGACACGCTTTATGTTTCGAGTGTCAAAATCATTTAATATAAACTTCTCTCTGTATTGCGATTCCCTACAGCCGCATTGTAGCGGCGCGAAATTGCAGGACGTTTTCCTGTAATTTGTGGTTGTTTTCCTGGTCATAAAAATACTAGCGATAGGCACGGGGTTAGTTCTAATTGCAATCTAATATTTCTAACTACCGCAGAATACAGATGTGTTCAAGACTACATCGAATAACCTCCTGCATATGTAACTATGTAACAGTCTGCTGTAAAATACATGTACGTGAATCTATATGCGTAAAACAGTAATGCTTGCTCTAACTAGATAACATGCCCCAAACCTCCAGTTAGCCTCACAGCATTGCTGGACGTGTCGTCGTTGTTGTATTAGTTAGGCTGATTTTATCACGGAAGTTCCCTCTAGCTCCTACCTGGTACGTGTCATCAACGATGTGAGGTTACAGCCTCACGTTCTTTGCGCACCGTGGCCGCGTACATTCCATCGGCCAAGTTACGAAGCGCGTACATCGTTGTTCTTCGTGATCGCCGCTGTTTTTGTAGTTGTTGTTGTTGTTGTCGTTGTTATCCTTGTCCTGATACTCCTTAATGCTCCGGGACTCGTCTCGTCCTTGGGCAATGCGGTCCGTGCTCCATAAAAATTTGTCTCCACGTTGCTGTTTCCAGCCGTCTGCCAGTTAGCCTAGACGAGCCAGTCCTGGCCCGAGGGGTTATCAGTGTCACTACCATAGTTAAACAAATGTCGGATACAAGGTGTTCTTTCTACCGTTCGCGTAAGGACGCAATACGGCTAAAAAGTCCCGATGTCTACATGGATCTAAAGATATATGTGCAGATCCAGTGCTTGTCTTCGGATATGTAAATACGGCGTTGATGTGTTGTGATATCAGGACGGATCCTACTTTTACAATTGGTAGATACGATGGAAGAGAAAAGGTGTAGTAGATTGTCGGGACCACTTTCTTCGATTAGTTAGTTAGTTGCATGGAGGCTTCTAGTGCTTCCAGGCGTAGAATATGACTATCAAGCAGTGAAAGCGTGATACACAAATTAATATTTTACTGTTCAAGCCACATAACTTATCGTACGAATCAATTTAGTTACAAGCGTTCTATATCGTGGGAGTGGTATTGGAACTCCAATACCAGGCAGGAATAAGTTTATTTTATAACGGTGCTTGTGCTTAAGTACATCAGATTAGCCTGGCAAGACTAACTACTTTGCTTGAAGTTAACATGTAAAAAATCGGGAAGTTACACCTATTCTATTTAACTGAGATCTAATCTTTTGCCTCCTTTAATGCAAATGGACGTTCTTTCCGATCTATCCTTTTCAAGTGCACGCCTGACTATATACTTCTTCATATATTTTATTCTATAGCCCCATTTACGCGTAAACATGCATCGATCGTGGCAATATTATATAGTCGATTTGCCAGTAAGCTTAACGAACGAGAATTTACAGAGTAGGGTTTGTAAAATGGAGCGCCTCTTAATGATCGATTGCGAATATTCAGAGGTTTAGCTCAAAGTGTCCATAGCCTTCCCAAGGTGTTAGTTCATTCCCATTAGTGAACCCTTGTCAAGACCACTTCGCTTCTAGTTGACATAGGAGAAAAGTAAATATGGATTTTTTTTTTTAAAGAAATGCTACTTATATGGATTTGTAGAAGATATTTGACATGTTCTCTATAATTTCAGTCACAACGTATTGCTGCCTGGCCGTTTCCTGTTACCAGGGCAGTTAACTGTAAAACAGAGCGCTAAATTTACTCTTAATAAAATTATAACAAATTTTAAGCAAACCTGCATTGAACTACGCTCGACTAGCCTATTTAATAAAAGCAGATAAAAAAAGTTTATAAACAGGTTGGCATTAAGATAGCATGGGTGCATCTTAGATTGTTATTCTGACCCATTTCCCAGGCTATATGTTGAGTGTAAAAACGTATCTCAGCCCGTTGTCACCTTTTAAAATTTGCGCGTCAAACATGATTATCAAGGCTGTTTTCACGCATATAACGCGGCATTAGCTAAGACTCATTGCCAATAGACGACTCGATGGCAATCCAACCAGGGATATAAATACCAAATTCAAGAATCATGCAAGCAATTGTAAAAACCGCAATAGTTAGTATTGCCGCAGTAAAATATGCTGGAGTACAAATATCTCTCCCTACGATAAGTATACGACGAGATTATAGAACAAAATAAACTTTAATACAGCATACATTATTGCTGAAAAGTTGCTCCTTTTTCTTTCTATGCAAATAAAGTGAGAAATATTTACCCAAAATTGACCTCAGGTTATCCTAGAAAGTCAAAACAAATGCTTTTTTCCAAATAAACGGATTTTGTCAAAAACTTTTTTCTTATTAATTAATATTACGATTTGTTAATAATAATAGCTCAATTATATAGCTTAAAATCGAACAACATTGCAGTGAAAGACCTCTATAATATAATACTTCTCTGTCATCAGCGCTGTGGCCCTTTGCTATTGGTTCACTCATTTGCACAGTCAACAACCTACATATGTCTACTATAGAACGAATAGACGGCCGTCTTAAGCTGATTTACACTAACTAGACTAAGCAGATTTGTATGGCAGCCGAAATAGGAAAGTGTTCTAAATAAAACAAAAAAAGAACAATAAAATGTTCTATTTTCCAGTTTTCGTTCTCTTGCTATAACACCTATATAGATCACTTACTTTGTATAATCGTATAACTTATCTATTAGAATATAATAGTTTGGCCGGTTTCTATTTATTACTACCCTTTTTTTTTAACATTTCGTTGACTGTATAACTAAAATCTTGATGATCTCCTTTGGCACAAGGCAGTGTCCTTCGAACTAGAAAAATCAAATGGAGCGCACTCGTTAAGCCGAAAATGTTATTTTTAATTTCACCCTGTTTTTACCTGCTTTTCAGTTATACCAATTTAACCGTGCATTGTACACCTATCCCGGATAGTTTCGGTAGCTTTTACCTTAAAGTTTCAGCTGACTGCGAAACTACGTCAAAACAATGCCAACGGCTTGAAACAGCATCAAGTGACCTATTGCAATTGTAATGATGAATATTCATTTTAGGACTTCTCTCCCATTGGTTTGGGATACAATATATTTCGTGTAGCCGACGTAATACGTGTCATTTTTGCTGGCATGTACATATCCTATGTGCCAATAGCTCAGCCGTCTACAATAAGCAACGAAGCTACACACACAATATTGTTTAGATTACTATCATGGGGTACAAAATATACAACGCTCTCATATAGAAACATCTCCGGGTTTACGTTCGTACACATTCTTACGTCGGTCCCTGTAGACTCAACTCTGACCAATCCGAATCTCTCATTGGTCCGCCGCCTACAATCTACGTTCGTCCTGAACTCCTAAATCTCTGGAACAGAGACATCGCAAAGCAGAATAGTCTTGGAAGTACAACTGTCTCATATCGATTAGGATTGTCCTATTCAGCGGTCGCTATCAGTAGTCTCACTGCTAACGCCAAGCGGCTTTTCTGCAAGTCAAGGGAAGCCTTCTCTTTTTTGCTTACCGTTGCTCGCGTTTTTTAGTCGAAATTCGTTAGTGAACGTCAAAACTATGATGTCCAAACGCTGCTTGCAAAGCTTTATCATCGTCTTGTACTGTTCTTTGCTAGACTTTATCTCGACCTTATTCGATTTCGACCTTTGCGCAAACCATTTCAGTTCCTTTCTGTTTGTGAATATTTTTCGTTTGATGTGACTTTCTTTTTCGTTTTGCTTTTTTATTCTTTTTTTAACGTCCTTCGGATTACACGCCCACATTTCCGACCCCCTGACTGAAGTTACCTATTAGCGCCACCGCTTTTTTCCTCAATAACCCCCGGGTTGCGATAGCGTTGTACTAATGGCAGCACTTTGTCGCTGGCGTGGACCAGACATCTTTGTCTTTGCATTTGCCGAGAAAATCTTGATAAAAGAGAAATCAATGCAACGCTGTGTCTATGTGTGCTAGCCATCTGCCCGAGCTCCGATAACTGCGCCGCTTGACAAAATGGCTTACCTGTTAGTTATCGACGTGTGTGTCCGATATGGCGCATGAGGCATATATCCACATGCAAATTCACAACGACACCCAAACCAAAGCAGCGATCTGCCATATTGGCATCTATATGCGTCTATGCAGCGTCGGCATCGCAATTACCGTCACCAAATGACAGAGGGCACACTATAGTACCGCTTGCAATGCATATCGCCTGCACGTACTAAGATCCGAGAAGGTACTGTCCTTTTTGCAAAGTTTCTTTACGCGAGCCTCCTTTTCCTCGATTGTTCGCATTCTGCTGAATATCTGAGCGTGTTTCCGCTAGTGTAATAGATGACGCTGAGATTAACGGCAAGGTTGTTCAGAGGCGTCTTGGATCCACTGAGTATTCATCCACAAACGGATGAAGCGATGTCGGATGCAAAAGAACAGCAACACCTTGCCAGTTGACGCTTGCGTCATGCGCAATAATACTGATAAACGCTATATACAGGGTTCGCCTTTGGGCCAGGATCTATATATAGATTGTCCTACCCTACGTGTATATATAGACATAGGGAGTGTATCGAATCGTTTTTTAGGTGTAGGTTCCATATGGCACGAATCACTTTTATGAATGTGAACGTTTTATGTATCTCGTACCGTCCAGATCTTTTTTTTAAGTGTAATCTGACTAGCCAGCCTTTCAATCAGCAGAGATAATTACCAAATATTGTCAAATCAAATAAATGGAAAGGTTAAGCGAGCATTGCGTGAACGTTTCCTGTTATTTAATAGAAAAAAAGCAAATGACTAAATACAAAGTCTGCGTCAATACCTTTTGCATCCTCTACGCTGTAGTAATTAACGACCATCGCCAATATAAAGCTGCACTAACAGCAGACTATCGAATGCTTTCGGTTCTTCCTGGTTATCTTTTACCAACTTAAGAATGTGCGATAAACATTTAGGACAATACTGACGAATATATGAGCGGGCGTACGCAGCGGCTGTAGATATGCAAAAAAAAGGCACGTCCATTGCCGGTAACTGCGTGCGCATTCACGGACATTCCTCTGATACGGCAGTAATGCAAGAAACAATGTCTTGCATACAAAGTTACGGGGTACTCTTTAAGCAGGAATCCCGAAATTTGAGTTGGAACATTTGAATTGCCCAAATGTGGAATAGTGAATCGACACGATTGTCTCTATTGTTACAGTCATTGGCGTTGGTTGGTGAACTTGGTTATCGTCCTTTCGTAAGCCTGCTCATAAGGTTCCAGTAATAAATGTTTCCCTTTTGGTGACAGCCTAAGCCGTAACTCCTCACAATGATGAACGACTTTTGCATTAAGCGCATCCATAGAGCATATTTTATAATTTGTCCAAGTGTTAATATATAGTTTTCACCAAGTGTACAAAGTAAATATCATGAAGGTCAGGCATGGCGAAAGATAACCCCACACCGTGAGGTCATTTCGGGTTTAAGAGTATTTAGATCTAGGAGGTCGCATGTTCACTAGAAATGTTTTAAGAAATTATTCGATGAATTTCTCATAGCAAGAAATAGAATCTAGTATAACTAGTCTATAACTATCCAGTGATAACTCAAAATGCTCAAAATGTCATTCAAGGCTTACGATTCTAGCAATAAATTCACTAATTAATCACAAGACATCTTAACATACGCACGTTCCATAAAAGCATGTACCAACCTTGGAGTGCTTCACAGCACTTCCTCCGGTGCGAAGCAGCACGTACGAGTCATACGATGCCAACACGTTACCTAATCAACAACGCTTTAACCGGTTAGGTTCTGTGGTATTATAGGGACTTACGTCTTCCGCAACTATTGTCACGCATAGCTAGTATGTATATGGCCTATATTTTTTTCGTCTGACAGGTATAGGTGCTTCTATAAATAGTCATTCTTATGCAAAGCTTTGCTGTACCGTCTCAGACTCGTAAAGATTAAGTCTCCTTCGATGATAAGTTATTCTGTTCTCTAATAAGCTTCAGGATTATCATGTCAGTCACATTGAACACAAAGGGTAAGCAGCGTTAGCTTCGTTAAATTTTAGAACTCACCCCTTTGTTTCAACGTCAAGGCATTACGTTCACTTTTCCACCGTTTCTAATAAATTCCAAAACACGCAACGTTTGTTAGGGTCTAGCGATGGATATTTTCCTTCAAATCCCTTACCGCTTTGGAAAAACCGGATAAGCAATCGTTCGTTGTTTTCGTTCGTCGACGGGCCACATTCCCGCTCACAGACGCCTGCCCAACTTCCCTCCATTAACACGAAGCACTTACGACGAAGTCTTTGCGTCCCTTGCTTTCACTCTCTCCTCATTACTATTCACCATTTGTTGGTCCTTCTTTCTACGAATCGCAGCATCACGAAGCGTAGGTTTGCGACCTGAAGAATATCTTTCGTAGGTGCGGACAACCGTCTTTTCATCGGGGACCTCTAAGAAGTTACGCTAAAGCATAATGGCGTCGCTGACTAGACCGGAGGAACACGAAAGTGAGCTGACTGAATATGTGACCGTGTCCATAAGTTCTTTTTTCTATAGATTTGTATTTAACCGAAAAAATCAGGATCTTAACTATGGCTGTCGGCATCCTAGTAGTCTATCTCGTTCCCGAGCGTTCTAGGTCTCTTTCGACATGTATGGTCAATTTGTTATAGGCTTATTGTAAGGCATTGTTAAGGTATAAGTGGATGGTTATAATTTCGTTTTCAGTACTCGCATTACCGAACAATCATATTATGCCGAACCTAGTATATTTCGTGAATGTGTTTCTACCCATATATACTCATATATATCAATGGTTTTTGTAATGGATTAGGTTGGAAAAAGCTCCCGCCTTTTTTTTAAAAACTTGCTGTTTATTTTTGTACCGTCTGAAAGCGTTTGTATTTATATATCAGTGTTATATTGTGTTGTGAGTGCCATTTTAACTTGAAAGATCTTCTCACAGTTAAAAAATCTAGATAGAAGGATGTGCATTTTCGACACCTTCTCTACGGCGCATTTCGTCAAAGCCAAAACACAGCAACGACGATATCGATGTAAAAATTGTTCAAAAATAATTTGCAAAATGTAAAAATGCTACCAAAGATCTCCTACGAAACAGACACTCAAGTGGTTCATTTACTTGGTCCAGTTGTCCGGGGCCTGTTGTAGGGCGGTTCCAATCTTTTGGCCAGGCTCGTACAATTTTTTTGAAACTTTTTTCTGTAGTAGTTCTTGGTGACCGTGGAGCTGAACTGTATGAGCTCATGATGAAAAATTACTCGACGGTCGAAGAACACCGCAAGGGTACCTTGCTTTCGGACCTGTATCGAATGATTCTACTTTGATTGGGGTTTGTTTTTGAACCGCTTCTGGGAAGATTACTTCTTGTACTGCTAGTCATAGTCGTCACTTTACATCTAATTGCCCACAACGCCGTGTTCAAGCTTTTTGGCTCCTCTGAGAGTGGGAAAACACATCCTTTGATACAAACTCCTCACAGACTGGATATTCAGCTCATTCGGTCGTAATTTTGCCGCAAGCGTTCTAAATTCTTGGTCATAACAGTCCGACATAATTAAATTAAGGCGCCATATCTCTTCGATTCGACGGCATAAGTCATTCAATGTTCATGTTTTCGTCACTGCTGCCTCAGGCCTTTCAGAACGAGGGAAACGCTTGAATCATTTGTTTATTTGAGCTTTACTCCATGTATGCAACCGAGATTCGAGCGATTTCCGTATGAAGCCTCTGGAGTTTTACGCCATTTTTGTGCTAGTGCACGTAGCAGCGCATGTGTTACCTTCTTTAGCTAAACTTTGCCGCTAGCGCATACGGGAATGTCGTGAAAATCGTTGTACAAGTGTACAAGGATTCGAAACGGTACGTAGTAGTTTCCTCATACTGAATTGAAGAATCGATTCAGGCAGTTTGGATATCTGAATGCACATCAATAATTATGGCGGGTCCAGATGAGCTCCTGCATAGAAAATATGTCTAGAAGACTCTGTATTAATGTATGGCTCACAATAATTAACATGTATATATATATATATATATGCATGTACTTGTAGCACATCGTCATAGAGACTGCAACGTGAAACACTCATTACCATTTACGAACGCTTTTCGTAAATTCAAACGAATTTAGTGCCAGATCTAATTCTAGGCTTATTAAGCCACTGTAGTATTCTATGACGTCCACAGTTCCTCTGGATATTTTTGATAACGAAACTAACATTAGATAAACCACTAAAGCACTAAACCAATGAAAATAACCAATAAATAACCAACCAATAAAACACTTGTGTTTTATTTATGATGTGAACGTAAACGGGCATTTAAATTTTGTATTTGCCGTCATATGCCGGATCGTGCACAATTTTTCTCGCCATCTATGTCTACCAGCTTGAAACCGTAATTCAAGGCAGTACCACAAACCCATGACGAAATTTGTACATCAGATCGCACCGTAGGTGATATGTACGATCTGAAATGATATGGCTGTACAACATTCCCCTTCACGTGTAATTACAAAGTCAGATAGCCTATTCAGTCTCATCAAAAAGAAGCGCTCCGATCCTGCTCCAAGACATAATTAGGTACAGCATATAGGCGTTGCCCACTAGAAGCCTCTAGAAATAGAACGTCGAGGATAACCTTTGTGACCCGGTGGCAATTAACGCAAACAGTTCGATTAACGTGAAGTTCGGCACTTTCGGAAGTCCAATTCTCTATTCGACTCAAAACAGTCTACTACAGTAAACAGGTTAGGCGAGCGTACTCGTACCTAAAATACCCAACATTCAGTGCCTTATGGTAACTAGTCGCGCAGCAGAGGCTTTACCAGAAAAATATTAAAAAAAAATAGAATTACTGTGTGTTCTTGTTCTAGTCATACGCCAGCTTCGTGTTTCGAGATGTCGTCGCAAACCAACCGCTATGACTTCTTCGTGACCGCAACCGGTTGGTTAATACTTATCTGCAGCTATTTTCCCCATGCAACATCATATATCATGTTGTAAAGGCTTGACCTGCTAATAACACGCAGCTTGTTCTCGCTGTACGTTCATCGAAAGCCTTAACGATCAGTAGGAATTATGTTCGCGCCTTTATTCATCATTCTTCAAGAAAATAGAACCGCCAAAACTCTACAGGACCTTCCGGCTATAACCATTTAGCGATTTAGCACTTCAGATCAAGCGAAAATCTAAATCGCTACGAGATGCAGCATTCTGAACAGGGTCTTTTCCGGCGCTTTCGTTTTTCGAAAACAGAAGATCACTCCTATTTTTCCATTCAGGTAGGAAGGCAAAAAGTGGCCCTGATCAATTAGTGACTTGACTTTTAATAGCTTTATGGATCGACCTATTTCACATATATTATAGTTCTAATTTCCTAAGTGGAAATAGCTAATCTCCCTTGGTGTCTGGAATGAACACTAGCTTTGCGGTAACCCCCTGCTATCTGCTTATTCTGCTTTCAAACTGCTTTTGTATTGCGAAATATTTCTAAAAAACCGCAGGATATTTCAGAAGGTCGATGTCATTGAGAGCAGATAGATTTGCTTAGTAATGTTCTTTTTCCTATACTATTTATAGTGGTGGTACATGTAGCTTGTCTGTGTCCCCACATAGAAACGGTGAGGACATGCAACTTACATGTTGACGTCGCTCCTCTGCGCTACGACTGATGTTTTATTTAGTCCGCTATGCGATAATCTGCAATAGTCAAGACGTATGGAAATTATCTTCAGTAGATCTGTGAAATCGCACAAATGACTTATGCAGCGGTCGCCCTTGAAAATGTAAGCATACCGCAGTGAGGAAATCGGTATCTTTTCTGCAGCAATCTTCTAAGCCTGCAGTGTTTCTGCCCAGTCTGCTCTGAATGATTTTTCTAGCCCTTTATTCCTAAGAGAACCCGTCGTATGCTAATTAAACGAATTTAGCGTTCTTCCGGCTGGCAGCTGTGCGCCTCTCTGAAATCTGCCTTTAATTGCGTACTAAACAAAACAATCCATGCGTCATTTGTCCTTTCGGACTGAGTACGTTTTGTCGGTTTTTTGCTTGTTATACCAACGTTAGCTTAGGAAAGGCCATACCTAAGTTTCTATGAAACATTAAAGAAATATCTTATGAGAAGGATGAAACTTTTACAGATGCAGCTCAAAATAACTGCAAGTTAATAAACAAATATGTGTAATAAATCTAGCCTAACCTGTGCTACTATTTTTCAACTTCCTCAAACTTGAATTGTTAATACCATATTATTCACATGAGTATGATTTGTCATGCGATTCATCATATGTTACTTGAGAATATACAAAAGACAGAACTTGTACTGTCTCTAACACACTATTGTGTCAAGGCGAAAAGCGGCAATACGTTGCCTATTCGTTGGCTGACTTTTCGCGGTTATCATGAAAACATACACGTATCTGTTGTTTTTAACAGTCCCTATTGCTAGGGACTCTTTCTGCTGTTCACCTTCACCTATTTTTCCTGCGTGAACAAATCCTTCGAATCACCTTTTAAGCATAGCATCAAAGATTTATACCTACATGGAGGCGTAGTCTGGCTGGTACTTCTAGTGGCTAAATTACATGTAATAGCAATGCTGCAACAACAGCTATCATATCTGACACACAGTCTACTATTATACCTTCGATTAGATCAGTATTATTATATCGTATCAAGTATAGGTCCCCCAAAGGAGCGAAAAATTTAAATTCCAAATAGAATATTGGCTTTCTGCTTTAATAAATTAACAATAACAGTTTCGACATAGAATAAAACAACATGATAGGAATTACGTACGGAACAACATAGCTGGTAAAGAGAGCTCGTCAGAACAACAAACGAACGATGGGTTTTTCATCAAAAGCATCTTGAACAATGGTTTTATAGATAATCAAACTGTCGCCTCTAATTGTAACGAAAACCCACAAATATTTTATGAGAGAAAAATACATGTCAAACACGTATTGTTATTTAATGTAGCATAATTTATCATTATTTAATAATTTTCCTTTAAAGGAATCCATAATTCTTTTAAATTAAAATAAAAAGTTGCAGATGATGCGCGGTATTGGGGCATGATGACCTAGTTTCAAACAGTATCGATTTCGAAAACGTGCTATTTGACAGGGCATTTTTGCTCCCTAGCGTATCAGCTGCAATCGCCACAAGAGGAAACACCTTCATCCCAGAGACTACAAAATCGCTAATAATCCTAGAACGAAAAAGCATCGTCTTAATCAAAGGATCATATTATATGGTGACATGTACAGAAATTATTGTAATTGTACATTCAGAATAGCAGGTGCTATCTGTAGATATTTCAATTTGAATTTAGCGGTTAAATCACTGTTGACCTAATGGATAATTTGGAAGGTGCCAATAAGTTGTTTAGTCTAATGGACGGAAACGTATTTAAATAAAAAATGCTTATTGGTCATGATTACGTAATACATGGATAGTAACATATAGCGAACACAACGTATTACCGATAGGAGTGGAAAACGTTTGCGCTCATAGCTACGAACGAGCGAAATGAGGAAACTCGATAGTACTAGTGCAGCCTGATTCGAGTGTTATGTACTTCGTCGTGATTACCTGTTCTTATTTACATTAGATGTAGTAAACGTCAACATGAACGAAGCCCCTTCTCGTTGCCATAACGTATTTTATCGACGTCGCCGGCTTATCGTTATATTACTTCCATTAGCACAGTCCGAATACACTGGCTCACCGATACAAGACCATAATTGAATTAAGCGGTGCCTATATGTCAAAACAATGGCATCATCGATACCAGATGCCGGGACCAAAGAAGATTGAAAGTATACATACATAGTATATGTATACATACAGGGTAGGGCAAAAGTGGTTCAAGGTCTATATCTCGTGGGGTAAACAAGTCGTGGCCCAATAAGTATTACTGAGTCAAGTAACTGGCTGGTGCATGCGGCTGGAAAAGAACAGAATTGTTGTAAGTATTTTGTAATAATATAACATGGGGAATAATATTAGATATGTGAAATTATAACTGCCAGAGGTTCTTGTCATGAAGGATCTTGGTCAACTTCATTCCATAGTTGACTCTTTACCCAAATTATGAACGGTCTGGCATAATTCGACCGCAGAGCCACAGAGTAAAGACGTCTAGATGATGCTATATCTTTAATAAATAACTAACTAAATCGATAATCAACACCAACAACCGATTCAAAGGGATCCCTTTAATTTTGATTATGCAATTATGGGAAAAACATTATAATAAATAAAAGTATTCAATATTAATTCAATATCAAAGCTCTTAAAATCAAGCCAGATTTTCTCTTTCGGTCGTAACCAAATTCACGTTAAGTTCATTTCTTCTAAAAAAAGCACCTCTACATTTAACTTCACTTTTAAGAAAATTCGGTATTTCCTTTCTTTGCTATCGAAGTGCATCGACGTATAAGGATTATCATATATCTATCAACTTACCTCACTTCGATGTGTTCTTACTCACATCAAATTACTTTGGTGCATTATCTGAGCCAAATATTTTGCTAAGCGTCGTCCCAAAGTCCGAACGCATCAAACACATAGCACGCCCCACGTTCAATGGCGCGTTGCACTCGCATACGGCAAACGTTCAGGTCGACCCGGCTATTGGGTACTGGCTTTTTTGTCCTGTTTGTCCTTACAGCTCGCCCCGCCGATGTACAGAACGTCTCATTTATTTTATTTACAGTTGACGGGAAGCGGTTTTTGTTAGTTTGTACGTCTACATATCTGTAACAACAGCAATAGCTGCAAGGTGTCGTCATCGGGTACCACTGTAGCAGTTTTGCCCGCTGATTTAGCTTTGAAGCTTCCTCTTCTATTAATTCTAATGAATGGTTTGCATTGCTGACTTACTGATCGTATTAGAGTAACGCAGGACGAGGCATCAGGAGGAGCCCGAGCAGAAGACTGTGTAGGGCTGGCGGGATTGTGAATCCGGGCGAGTCGTAACCTGTATTGTTATTGATTTTGATACTAGGCAAAACAGTGGTAATGATGAACATGGTATATGTTTTTTAATAATAAAAAAGTAATTAAATGATGTATTATCACTAAACAACTATCACATGCTTGATAATAAAGAAGTGGTAAAGTGGAAACTTGGACTTTTGTTGTTTCCTTTGTTTATCTATGTTGCATATTTTTAGAATCTTAACATTATATACGCGCAATTTTTAACGAGAACGAAAAGAGTGCTCGCTCTTGCACCCCTATAGTTGTGCTAGTGTTACCATAACACATTACGCGCAGATTTTATGTGCTCACATGACAATATCCTACGACCATTGATTATATTACAAACGGCCATTAAATTCAATAAATAGTCGTCATGGATAGCTGTCAAAGTTTGATTGATTGGACCTCTAGTTCAAATTTGCTAATAACTTATCTATAATACGTACCTGTTTCACGTGAAATAAAAACAAACTTTATTTAGAAAAAAAATCCTCTAGCCCATTTGTCCTGCAATGGCTCCTGACGGCACATCTCGCCCGCGCCATTTGATGATCTTTGTCTTCTAAAGCTGGAACGTGTCGCTCTACAAAAGTCAATACCTCTTGCGGAAGCGAGACAGATGCTCAACTGGCGAAATAGCTACATGGGGAAAAGAATCATGTAAATGAACAATGAAATCGATCCAGGATAGATTGGCCTTCTTTTCGCTTTTTCGGACTTTCGTTGGTTTCACCATCGACATAAAGCGGTAGGCGCAAGCATTTGAGAACTTTAGCTGGGTGATTCCATCGAAATGCTTCTACTTCGGGTATGACGAGATTCCCCACAGTCGGACACCGTTGTAACAGTAATTTGCTTACGCCAGGCGACAGGATTTAACCAGAGCGGCGTGACCTAGGTGCGAAGGTAGGAAGATGCGAGGAGATACTGTGTTCTTGCGATTTTCGAAAAAACTAAAAACCAACTGAGAAGGACGAGAAACAGGAACATGGATAGGCGTTCCATATGAGTATAACGCACTATGCGTCATGTCTAATAGAAAATGTCAGAGCGACCTTTTGCGTAATAACGCTCTACGTGCTACGAACAGTTGCTCCCAGTCACAAAAACGCTTTTATCTAATTCCATGAAGGGCTTAACTGTAGGAAACCGTTCTCGAAGCAGAAGAAGAAGACCCCAAAAAAAGCAATCTATTGCGTAAAACAAAAACATGTAAACATGACTTACCGGGGAGCGTTTGGATAGTTTTAGCGAATTCATCTATAGCCCTTGAAACATATAGGTAAACGCTAGGTTTATCTTTAGTAAATGTCCATTAAAGGTACTAGGAAAAAGTGGTCGAATATAATATGGTCGAAATCGGTCTGTTCCTATTATTAGCTTTCTAGTAACTGAGGCAAATGGCCCTTATTGTCGGAAAAGGTTTTAGATATCGCTATCATAACTAAGGTCCCTTTACGTCGGTAAATAAACCCTCGTAAGGTAGATACTGCATAATTAGAAATTTAGAAAAATATATTCATGCAAACTAAATGTGTCTTGTCATTTGAGATATTTGGCAGAGTTCTTAGAAAAATAATAATAGTCTTATTTTATGCTGCTTCATTGTGACTTATCACCGTTTGGGTTGGCCATTGGTTCTGTAATCAATTTTAGTCAAAGCGATAAGGGTGACAATCTTTTCGTTGATCTTAGTTTGAATCAAGCCGCCATTGGCCACTACGTAGATTGATTCCCTTCCACCAGCCTAGCATAAGCGCCGCATGAATTTTAATTGTCATTTGTAACATATAATGTTGATATCTAACATACTGCAATGGCCAAAATAATAATAATAAGATATGTCTGCCATTCGGTGAGGGTCCAAGGGCCCGATCCGCTAGCCGATATGTTGTTAGTCTCTGACTAACTGCCTAGTCCTTTACCGTGTGTCTAGTTCACATCTGTCCCTTAGGTTTCTAGACACGCTGATTACCCTGAAGCCATCACGGAGGTTCTCTCTGTATGACATCGATGGTGTAAAGTCCATCACTACACGTACTCTGTACCCGTTTTTATAAGAGACAGAGTAGATGTCCTTGAAGATCGATTGTATAGCAGATGCTTCAAAGTACACATAAAACCATAAAAAACCCTCTTTGCGATTTGCAGGATTTGATCCCGTGCTCCGAGCGAAGATCTCGCAGATCTCGACGTAACCACGCTGCCCTTCTTAAAACACCACTATATTAACTTTTTTCCATAGCTGACTTTCAACTGTGCTTTATACGGCAAAGTTGTCTTAGCATTATTTTTAAGTAGACTCACCGCAGCTTGAAGTAATCGACATTTTCTAAGCAACCATTCCGCTTGACACATACATGAATTGGCTATGTATGCAATAGCATATAGGTATATCATATAAGAAAGAAGTTAATGTGGGTATTACGAGGTCAAATGTTTTTTTCTTTTTTGAGGTGTATTGGAAGCATGGACAGAAGTGTCACTTGGTTTAGCTAACCCGATATGTAAGGATCAAACGATCCACACACTTCATTGACGTATGTGTTCGAGGTGATTCATTACGTTCGCCATTACTGGAAATAAACGTCAGAGGGATTTAGCAGGCACCCGTTGATATTGTGTATATTCCTAGCAAATCACTAAGTATATACCGATAAACAACAGATGTCAACCTCATGCACGGCTATTGTCGATTTGTGTGTTATATATAGTTGGCGTACTGGGACAACGAAAATATGGGCGCAGGGTGCGTTTTTAGACAAGAAGTTCAAAAAAGTATTACTTCTTACAGCTAACCAATCTACGAATTGTAGATATGTGGAGATACAGAGCGAGCAACAGAAACTAAACACCTCCCGATTCTAACTCATATATGAAACAATACTATATATATAATACAGTATATATATACTTTTTAAAAACGAAAAAAAAATTTATATAAAAGTTATAAAAGCGAATCATCAGTAGTTACTCGCGGACTTTGAACAGCCGTCAGCCATTAATCGCCGTTAGCTTTACTGACAAAAAGAGCTCGATTCTGCTGATCCAGTAAAATCAAAAAACTGTATGAGGCTAAATTTTGCCCCTTTAGGTTTAGGAACACTTTGATAGTGTTCCTATTCGTATTTGCGTGTATTCGCGCCTGCTGCCCGCACATATAATCTGTCAGTAATGTGGCCTTATCGTAGGCTCGACAGGCTCATTCCGGTAACGCGGAGAACAACAGAACTGTGCGGGATAAAAGATGGATGAAGCCGAGAAAGAGCAGAGAACATTGCGTCTTAAGGAGGAAGCAAATGAACATTTCAAAAGTAAGTCAAATCAGTGGTTAGATTAAATAACGCACTACACCATTGTGCTATTTTTCGTCATATGCGGAAACACTACGCAAGAATATACTGAGGCATTTTCAACTGTAGTACAGAACTTATCTTTGGTGTTTTACTCACTTTGTAATCTTTATTTGCATAGCAGTCCTACTTGAATATATTTACATTTATCTGTCGATTCACATTAGTACTATATATAGAAGATGTCAAGTCGTCTCGACTAAGCTGAAGAGCCTGCTCAACATTTCCTAGCCCAGCACTCGTTGTTTTCCCTCATCGGAAATGTCTTATAAAGCACGAGTCCATCGAAAAGAGCTACAATATAGCTCAATGCATTCACTAGAATGATTCGTGTTATATGCGACCTTTCATCGTGAAAAAAAAAACAGTAAGTACAAACCTCAGTAACTTGTAGCGAACTGCTTCAATTTTTTTTTAATAACACGAGTATGAGATAATAAATGTTGTCAAGTTTAGGTGATCTAGGCCTCAAAGCCCTGTGCGTTGAGGCCGTTGCTAACAGTTCCATCGAACTATTGCGCCGCGCTGGAATGGAATCGCCATTGCCGTATTTACTTGTTTGAAGTGCGCGCCAAACACTGACTGCCGATATCGTGTTTAGCCGCTAGCAATAACATTGCGATACATGATTCTTGAGAAATAACCACTTCCCGAACTGCGGATATGACAGCCTATGAAATATTTTTTTTCCAGGTTTTCCAGTGCGCCGATATAGCATTATATAACCAAGTATATCGATTATAGGTGTACGAATATAGCAAGAACTACTTATAGCGAATTACAATGTAAACTCAAAATTTTTAATTGATAACGCAGCGAACGTTCACTTTAATCACCATCTGTGTTACGCTATCTACGGGAACACCACAGTTATTTTGTTAAGATACTAACATAAATAATTTTTTAATGTATGTCAAGCATATAATCTAGCTAATTAATACCTGGCAGAATGCGAAGTCATTGCTTAATAAACTAAAAAGGGACCGGAACATGAAACCGGATGTACTGATAGTAAATCGCTACTTTCAAAATGGCCACGACAGGAAAATGTTCAGCGCGACGACCTCATTTTCCCAATATCTTTGGAAAGTCATTACATTACAACCAAGCTATTATCGTACATCGGCAAAGAATTGTTACCTATCACGCAGCGGATATAGGTAGGTCTGTTGCGTCAGGTATTGACTGTGGGTGATGGCAGCCACCGCTAATATTGCTAGTGTTACGCGATCTAGTATTAGTTAATTAACGAGCTCTTTTCGCAATACTTGAAGCTCTATTGGCGCAGGCAGGATTGAGCTTTTGAAAATTGCCGCTGAAAACAAAAGCTATTTTTCGAAAGCTGTCTGTTCTCTAGATACATTGTGTTTCAACTCGTTTAGGTTTGTCGAAAGATTTGTTTTCACTTCTACGATTATAGTAAGTTGCAAAAAAAATCATCGGCTTCTATTGCATTGACCTATCTATAGCTACATCTGACCCGAATCAGCTATCCTCGCTGTAGGGATTGCTTAGTACCCGAACGGACGACGCAACGTATCTACGAGCAAATAGATCTACGTTTTCACCCCCCACCCCGCCATAAAAACGAAACTGAGAAAACGGGAAAGGCTTTTTAATGCTGCAAATCGAATTTTAACAAAGTTTTCTCGAACGACTTTGTATAATAATATTTATGAGTATCATCATTGTTATTATTATTATTATTTAGCTCGTGTTTATATTGCATGTTGAATTTATACGATCGAAACGAAGTATTCACAACTCTAAGCAGCTACGGCACAAATGCTATATAACTCAGTAACTGGCTAAGTTGCTTTTATGGGCAGGATTAAACCTTGTTTTGATATTCGTTGCTTCAGTTTTAAGTAAATTGAAACATTACTTTGTTTAACTAAAATGTAGATATGATATGTTGTTGTATTATAATATTTAAGAAATACGAACGTAAAACAAAACATAGCCACAATTATAAAAGCATGTTTATGTATATTTAAGAATTTAATAAAGAAACTGTGCATTGGCTATAATTCTCGGCCAGACTACTATTACGCCAATCGATAGATAGAGGGGTCCTGGGACAACACACCTAATCTCAATTTATTTTGTCTACTTACTAATGACCTCTTTATAAAGTTTCAGCAAATAGAGTTGTTTTCTCACAGAACCAGTACCAACGTCAAGTTCATTGCGTCGACTTCCTGATGCATTGAACAATCTATATATATATATATATATATATATGTATATATATCTAGCCTGTCATGTTTACGCAGTAATTTATATAAAACTTATTGATGACATTCAACAGAATATGTAATTGCGTGAAAACTATTGCTCCGCTTGACAAACAAGCACCATCGGACACGTAGAAAACACTCTGGCCAGAATTTAGGAGCATCCACTTGAAGCTAATGGTGTAGACCTTTTACTGTTATTACTCAAAAAAAAAAAAACTCGAAATATCAAACGAAGCGTCAGATGTTAAAAAATGCAAGGTCTTTTTCCAGTAACTTGTCCAGATCGTCAATATCACTGCTAGTCTCTATGTTTCGAGTTTTACTTCTGGTATCATAGTCGTTAAGCACCCTATCAAAGCTCCCAGTACAAAAGGAAATCTGTTCATACCCGGCTTAGAACCTACACCACGACGTGCCCTGAAAAACTGCAACACTAACCTATCATGTGATCACAGTTTCCCTAAAGTCAATATTTCGAATTTAACGTACGCTGCTCTTCTCAACTGGAAAGATAACTAAATATAGTTTCTAACTTGACTACTAATAATTTAATTTTCTCACTCAAAAGTTTTAGTGGTTGATGTTATACTGATTACTGTGCCCCCTCACTCGAGATAGCTTAGAGGACACGTCTGCTCTCAATTGATCTCAGCGCAGATTGCGCTACAGCGCACAAAGCTATCGCCTGTTTCGAAAGCATGCTGATTATGATGAAAGAATTATGCAGCCCTACCAGTTCGCTAATTTACTAAGTTTCTATATGACTAAAGAGGGTACTCCTACGCACACTTTTACCCGTTCAACTGGTATAAATGAGAATTTTCAGATGA